CCACACGCCTCTAAGTGTGTGGGCTATTAGGGGGTATCGCATTCGTTTCACGAACGGCCCTCCAAAGTGCCGTTCGCGAAACGAACGGGAATCCCCATACAAACCGCCATTTGCATTCGGCGGAACAGATAGTACAGGCAATGCAGGGAATACATAACACAGGCACATACAGGTACAATGCATCTCTCTCCAGACCTATAGGCAACCCTTAAAGGCATAGTGTCCAGGTATAGTCAGAGTGGCTAGGTTTGCCACAATAATGCTTTCCTATGGACGCTTGCGTCTTCTCACTGTGATCTTCACAGTGAGAAGCACACAAACGCCTCTAGTGGCTGTCAATGAGACAGCCACTAGAGGCTTTAGAGGCTAGATTAACCCTAACATAAACATAGCAGTTTCTCTGAAACTGCTATGTTTATTAAAAAAAAAGGGTTAATCCTAGAGGGACCTGACACCCAGACCACTTCATTAAGCTGAAGTGGTCTGGGTGCCTAGAGTGGTCCTTTAAATTGTCCTCTATTGATAGTTCTACCACTGATTTTGATCTGCAGTAATCTTTTGGGGACTTGTGCCCTCCGTAGTGAAACCAGCATCTTTAGATGTCCCTTTGGGCATGCACAATGAACTCATCCTTTGCCTCTTGCTCAGGAGCTCACTATAGATGTATATATTATTGTATCTCAGAGTTCCACAGCATCAGTTCACACCATAACAGTGTACTAAAAGCTGCTGTGGATTAATTTATGTAAAATAAAAAACATTTAAATAGGCACATGAGATATTTTCTGTGTGCTGTTTATTGACATTGGATTTGTTTACTGAGCTGTTCACTTGCGCCGTATGTTTTCAAGGCTGTGTTTAGAGAATCGACTCTGGTTGTCACATTTACACATTTTCTGCTGTAAAGCCTTGGATCCTTCATTTTTTTTACACATCACTGATTAAATCCACAAAGTTGCAAACCCACAATGACCAAAGACTTTGTTGTTTGGCATTAGATACTCTCTCGGAATAAAGATACAAATAAGGTAAAGGAATCTGCCTAACAAAGGTAGAAACCCTCCTTACTAAAATGATCTCTTAAGTAGAATCATTCAAAGGTAATGGCAAAACAACAAAAAATAATAAACTTTATTTAAACAAGATCCTAAAGTTAAAATACGATAGAGTAAAGTGGAAAAAGGCGAGAGCAGGAGAGTGTCTTGTTGTAATAATCAACAAGTATAAAGGGTATTGAAAAATCCCTATATAAAACCAAAGTGTGCTGAATGCACAAAACAATATGTATAGTATAGCCTGAGAAGAGCAAAACGTCCGAGCTGCTCAGGATATCTGTTACACAGCAGGCAGCATACAGAACATGTAGCCTGTGTAGGATAGTAGGTGAAAAGATAGTCAGAGATAGATAATAGCCAGTGGGGTTCTATGAATAAGACCCCTCAGATAGAGTAGTGGGAGTAGATGTGCATCTAGTTGAATGGAGGCATAACCCCACAATAAAACCAATGGCAGCCAAACCCCACTCCCAAACCAGCTGTGCTAATAACCCTCCGTAACTAGGAGGCTATCCAGAGAAATGGCTAAAGCTATCCAACCTAATCACCTAGGCTATCTGCTGCTTCATTGCAGATAAGATTCTATGTAGCTTCCCCTGCGTGTTTAACATAAACAACTGCAGCTAACTCAAACGGATAGACAAACTATTCACCCCTCAATAGAAATGTGAACTAAAAGAATAAGTGCATTGGCACACTAAAGTAGCTCGACGCGTGTTTCGGCAGTAAATCCTGACTTTGTCAAGAGCAATTGTGTCCAGCGTTAGATCCTGTTATATAGGAGGGTTCGACCCTCTTCCTTTAATAAATTAGCCAATGGGAAATGGGAAGTCTGAGGAACACCTCCATGGGTAAAAGCCCTCCTTCGTTTTTAATTCTGACAGCTGAGTGTTCTGAATCATCAAAGGGGAGGGGAAAGTAGGTGTGCATAATAGTTAAAGACTTTAGAGTACCCTTCTATTTAGGGATGGATCTGAAAACACATAAACAATGTGTATCACAGTAGAAATTAACATTGTACATATTCTAACTGTATCAACAGGGTTTAAACTTCAAATGTAACAACTGTGTAAACCTAGAGTACAGGGAGCCGTCGCCCGGATCCTAGTACTACCTCGTAGTGTAACCACAGAGTCCTATATGGAGTTATAACCTGTACTTACAAATATCTTGAGATATTTTTTTCTTTAGAGCGTTGGAGGGTGAGCACATCTCCATAGAAAGCGGCAGAAGTCAGACAGATCTAGGAATAAAGAATCTAATGACAGTACGGGTAGGTAGGTAAAAGTGCCGCTGTGTATAGTGTTAGACTTAACAGACTGTCTAACAGGTGATCGTAGTAAGTGGAAGGCAGTCAATTAAAATCTGCGGCTAGACATGAAAAGTGCTGCCGCTGGATTTAATGTTGCCCATGACAAGCTATCGAAAAATCTCTCGGAATGATGGCGCATCCAATAGCAGCTAGCGTCCTAATCCAGCTGTTATCTATTGCCGATGCAGCCCTCCTTGATATATTGTATATCTGTGTATTACAGTCTCTATTAACCTTCGCATAATGGGAATAAAATAAATAGGAGTTACTTATGATCTTTTATATCTACATTGCTTGCACTGTATTAGAACATTTTTTTTATTCAGTTCTGATTAGCTGCTGATAGCACTAGAGATGTTATGGGGGCATTTAATTATTTATTTATTACTGGTATTTATAAAGCACCAACAGATTCCGCAGCACTGTACAATTAGTGGAGAACATACAGTATACACAGACAAATACAAAAGGTAAAGAGGGCCCTGCCTGTAAGCTGAGATCTAGCCATTTAAGCGCTTTTATACAAAGTGAGCTTGCAATCTAGTATGACTTGACCATGTCTGTCTACAGGAGATGCAAACCGTCCTGTCATGTGGCTTGTGTGATCACTTTACATTCAGACCTCGGGGAATGTTTTCCGACTTTTGTGATAATTGCAAGCTGTCACTATTATACATGGCAGGAGCCTGCAACCTAAAAAAAATAAAAAATTCCCATAAAATCTCCCAGCGGAGAGCTTTGGAATCGCAGTGTCTTTATGTGGGAAGGTTTGTTATTTACACAGGTTGTCTAGGGGTATTTTAGTTCCATCCCGAGTGTCCCTCTTTGAGAACGTGTCCCTCATTTGCAGAGGCTCAATATGTTGGTTGTATACGAGGGAATCACAGAGATTCAGAGATTACAGCTCACACAGCAATAATGCACCCTGTAACAAGTGGGGTGAATGAGTAAATCACAGAGCTCTACTACCATAAAACTCACTGTAATGTACTGTAAATGCATTAAAGGAACACTCGACTGCTCAAAACAAAATGTTTAAAAATCACAGTTAAGCAGAAATCCCCCCCAATGAGAACATGCATGCATTTAATTATGCATTATTTTTATTGGCAGGTTTCTTGTCTTTACAAGCCCCCATTCCCCTTCTCCCATCTCAGACTTTCAACTTGCAATGGGGAATTTTCCAATCAGAGATTTCTCCATGAGATTTCTTTGCTCTGGAGCCGTGAATGTGATTGCGTCTTTCCAATGCCCAATGCTTGTCAATGAGCTGTAATACCGTTTTCTGACTGACAGCCAGGAAAGTGTTTTTGCACTCAAGTTTAAATATCAACTTCTATTGAAAAAGGGAATTTTATAAACGGTCATAAATGTGACCAGCTCCAGACATGTAAAGCACTTGAGCGCGCTTAAAGGGACACTATGGGCAGCTCATTGAAGTGGTCTGAGTACTGTGTCCCTATTGCTCTTAGGCCTGTTTACATTGCAGCACTAACCAGACGGCCACTAGAGGCGCCTCCGGGGTTTTACAGGATTTTTTGGGGGGTCGTCTAACTGATGCTGGACGTCCTCACGCTCTGCATGAGGACATCCAGCGTCGGTAAAATCCCCATAGAAAAACATTGAAACAATGCTTTCCTATGGGGAGGGCTTAACACGCTTGAGGCGCTCGCCACGTATGCACATTAGCCCCCCCTTCAGATGTGACCCAGGACCGAAGGACATAGACGTTGGAATCGGGTAAGTGATTGAAGGGTCTTTAGCCCTTTATTGGCCAGCCAGGGCTGCAAGAGAGAGGGGAGGCAGAGGGATCAACAGTGTTAGGAATACTATAGTATCCCTATAAGTACTTTGTGTGTGAAGTATTCATTTAAATAAACACTCCAAGCACCATAAACCACTAGAGCTCACTGTAGTGGTTATAGGCTAGGAGTCCTCCCCCCCCACCCCCCCTGGCAAATTGCTGGGCTTAGCTCAGGAGAGCAAATGGAAGATCCTGTTGAAAATGTTCTGGGTCTAAGGATATTCTAGTGGAAACTGAGAGCGCTGCCTGACGGCGCTAGGTATTAAAGGAGACCTTTGAAAAACAGTTTGATTCTTTGATTCTTTACAATAGGGGGTGGGGTGGCAGAGGGTACTCATGACATCATAACTACTGCAGCCTGCTGTAGTGGTTATGGTGCTTAGAATGTTCGTTTACAGTCATCAAAAAAGTAATTTAGTATTAAATAGTTTTAAATGGTAGTTTGTGTAAATACAATATTTTGTTCTTGTGTATGATTTAATCAAATACATAAATGTTGGTTAAAAGGCCAAAATGGTAGCTATATTCTCTGTTTAATGCTTCTCCCCCTAACCATACCGCCTCTAGACACCCCCCCTCCTATACCGACATGTCTCTTCTTTACTGTTTGAAATGTTGGCAAATGTGTATTCTTTCATTTCTAAGCAAATGTAATTAATAATAAGTATTCAATCATGTTATTTTGTTTGCAATGTTCTGGGTTGATATGGCTGGGGACAATGAAAAGGCAGGCCATTCGATGCTAACTGACTCAAAAGCGTTTAATTTGAAGCAGCTTCTGGTAATTAGCATGACTCAGATGAAACACGTGTTGTGGAAGCAAAACGGACAGTGATATATGAGTTAAGTCTTTGTTCCTCGAATAATATAAAGCAAGGGGATCATTATAGTTCTGCAATTTGAGATCGAGCATTTCCTGTAATAAAAGGCATAAAAATTCTAAAACATCTGCGATTTGTGTATTAAAATGATGCCTTATACTAGTGCAAAGCATTTTGTATTTTTGGAATTTGAAAAAAAAAAATTCTTGGCATAAATAACGTGTTACGGTCACTTCTCTGGAAATAACATTAATCAGTAAAATATAAAAAATCACCTCTAGCTTGTGTTAACATGTTTTCATTTGGTGCTCTGGTTTATTTTAAATGTGTATTAAAGATTTGGAAGAAGTGACGTCACCATCCAGGAAAGGCACAGTCATGGCACACAATGCAAATGAGAATGAGAACTGACACTTTTTCTGTTCCTCCTCTTTAACTTACCATGTCCAATGACAGGAAAACAATGCTCCCAAACAATGAGCTAGCCTGCCCTGCAGGGCTTTGTTCAGGAGAGCTAACGGAAGTTCCTGCTTAGAAACGCAGGTAAGAAGTTAAACCATTTAAAAAACCGTTTGACTAACTGTAATGGGGGAGATGCACTCTTGGCACCATTGCCATTATGTCAAGCTGTAGTGATTACGGTCCTTTGAGTGTTCCTTTAACATAAATATTCCATAGTCTCAAATAATATTCCAGTGGGCCATTCTATGATTTTCAGGTTATTTGGCTGTGTGTTTAGGGTCATTATCTTGCTGAAAGATTAACCTTCACACCAATCTCCAGTGTCTTGAAGAATGAAACCAGTTTTTCCTCTATAGATACTTTACATAGGTCTCTACCCATCTTTCCTTCGAGACCCATTTGCTTGACTCTGCAGATGGAAAGCACCGCACATAGTGCTGAATGCAAACTCTTCACAATGCAAATGATCTCCAGGGCCAAGGCTGCTGACGTAGCTCGCAGCCATGGTGGTGGAACACCCTCACAAGGAGAATACTCGCTTGCCTGTTCTCCTTCTCGTGCTGCTAGAAGCACAGTGTCAGAGCCCAAAAAAAGCTCTGAGCTACAGCACCAATCAGAGGACAGTGGGCAGGGCTATATGACGTTACATCTAACCCCGAGTGAACTCCTCGTGTATGCCTGACCACAAATATGGGAGGCAGAGAGGATCATACTTCATGTCCACAGAGAGGAGACTGCAGCATTGTCTGCTTGTGAAGAAAAATCATCATCAGCCCATCCCCTCTGTGGTGCTCGTGCATATAAGGAAGCGTTAGCCTGAGGTGCTGTGATTGGCTGAAAATGTCAGCTGACCACTTTTAGCTTATCCCTGTGCCAGTTGCAGGTATGAATTGGTATTGCTAGAAGGAAGTGTAAAACCTTTGTCTTAACCATATCTCCACCAGAAAACAGGCTTTGGTGGCTTGGGACAATAATTTAGTGTTGAACTGCTCAAAAATGGTGGGGGACTCCATGCACTATAACCAATTCAATGAGATGAAATGATTATGTTGACTACACTTGTCATTTCACAATACACCACTTCATATTAACTGTGGGACCATTATTTTTTACTGCTGTCCTATTCTTTCATTGCGATTTTTACTTGTGCAATCTCTTATCCACATGGTTTCCCTGACACAGAACTTCCTGTGCTTTTAGGATAAACCAGCATGTCGTTTAGTGATAGATAGTTGACTCAGATACCGTTGACTGACTAAACTCACTTCCTCAGGCCACAGCCTTAGAGTCCTTTGATTTATGTAGATTAATATCCTTTATCATGAGGGGTAAAGATATCCATCTGTGTTTTGGGAGTTATGGGTGTTGGTCAGTAAAAAGGAACAATGGAGCTTTATTCAGAATTGCTAAAACTCTCCCTTAAAAGAAAAAGAAAATAACCTTACAAAACAAACACAGTCTGCAGAACTTTGCATTTGTATATTTCGGTACTTTTGTAAATTTTTATTTATTTTTTTGGGGGGTGAAAGATCTTCTAATTAAAATTGTGTGTATATATATATATGTGTGTGTGTATATATATATGTGTGTGTGTGTGTGTATATATATATATATATATATATATATGTGTATATGTATCTTTTTCCCTTTAAATGTTTTATTTTTGCAGTGCAGTAATTTGGTACAGACAGGCTCGAGGTACCCCAACGGCATTCCTCGAGCTTCGTTACAGAATACACAAGTGGGGTAAAGATGGATAGTGCACAATTTTTTATATAACCAATGCAACCGAAAACATTAAGCTTTTGTATGTATATATTGTGTTGAGGTGACAATAGTTGCTGTGTCTGATATGCTTTCCCAACCCTGCGCCGTAGAGAGCGGAGCGGTGGAGGTGTTGAGAGTGAGCCCATAGTGTGTAGCTTGCCAGCTTATGAATTGCCTGAGTGTGTTCTGAAGGAGTAGTGTTTGTACTCATGTTTAAAGGGTTTACATAAAGTTCACGGCTATTGCCTAGTGTTTGTAAGGAAGGGTGACGTGGTTTACACTTTTTGAATAGGCATATGTGTAGTCTAGTCTTTGTTCTCTGACAGGCTAGGCATTCCCACCATGTTAGGTAGGTAGGTAGGTAGGTAGATATATATATATATATATATATTTGCTCCGTCAAGTTAAGCTAACATATTATGCTAAGAATAGGTACGTATTGGGCTACTCTGGCATACCAGGAAAACAGATCATGCTAAGAGTAGAGAAAACATTTATATAGTAGGCTATTCTGGCGATCCAAGCTAACGCATCTTGCTAAATAATAATAAATAAAAGAAAAAGGCAAAACATTTGTGTATTAGGCTGCTCTGGCGGACTAGGGAAACATGTTTAACTAATACCAGCTATATAGTAGGTTACTCCGGCAAGCCAGGCATCGGCAGTATCCAAGTCCTGTTGGGTGCCTCCGTTAATGTATCAGTGCAGGCAGGGTTTGGTAGTTGCCTGCAGCATCCCACTTCTGTGCGCTCTGTGCCAGCTATCAGCCCACTCCATTCCGAGGCTGAGTTGTAGAGTCTGTCACTGTAGGGGAGACAGCTGGAAAGGAGGCGACCAGGTGGTAGTGCAGGATAGACTCTCGCTTCTCTGCTGTGCTGGAGCCTTCCATGTGTCAAGAGGGGCCCCATTGCTAGTCAGCTGTCAGTATGTGGTGTGACGTCTTTGTTGCTGGTCGGGGGTGCGGTGTGTCACAGCACTTTGTGTGGGAGATCGGTTCCCTGATATGTCAAAGGCACATGCTTCTGTGTCCTGTTCTGCTGTGGGTTCTTTTGTGATGCGGTTGCTGGTTTGCCACGTCCCTGTTTTTCCCACCTGTTACAGGCCTGCTCCTGTGTCGGAGCCAGAGTCCAGTGTTGTGCCCCTTGAGGTAAGCTTTGTGCTGGGGTGCCTTGACGGGTGTTTACCGGTGGTAGTTGTGGGACTTTGGTTTGCTCGCGCCCGGTTACTTTGTTGTGTATTGTGGGTGTCTGGGGACTGCAGTTTCTCTTGCTGGTTTTAATGCATATGGCGTCCGCCATATTAGGTGGGGTGCCCAGGCTGCAGATCAAGCTGGTAGTGCTGCTGGGCCACAGTTGCCTTGCCGCTCTCAGGGTCACATGGTGGGGACCGGGATCACCCCTGCCGGTCCAGAGGGGGGGTGGGGAAACAGGGCCAGGTTCTCACTGGTCCGGGCCTCCGGCCAGGCAGGATAGCAGGGCAGCGGATGTCTGCCCCGCTCACCGCCGAAGAAGAAGGGCCCCATCTGGAGTGACAGTCTCTCCCCCAGGGGACTGCAACTCGGGGAGTCAGCCTCTCCCTGGGTCCCGTGGTCCCAGCACACGGAGGATCAGTGCTGTCGATCTCCCATCTCAGAATAAATCATGCTTTAGGGGCTTATAGAGTGGGAAATTGCAGGAGCTGAAGTTGCTTGCGACCATCTAGCTCGGCGGTCCGGCCCCGCCCCCTTTTGTACATTTTTAAACTCCACAATACCAACTCATAAATTCTATGTTTTGTGTAAGTTGTACGATGGAGGTTAGGTGCATGCTGGGACATAATCTTCTCAGCACAAGAAATGGTAAATGTAATCGCAAATGTGGTGCAAATTACTGCAAATTATCTGTTTGATTTTGCATGTTTTTTCATTTGATTTGATTTCCTACAAACATTTTATAGTGAATACAAATGTATTTTCGTTTTTAGAAAAAAAATTTTTTTTACATAGACTTGTAAAGATGACTACAGTATACCTCCAAAATTTCAAATGAACAAAGAGGGACACTTTCATTTTAGTGGTGTGTCCAGGTGCAGGGCTGTTCTGAGAATATTTAGGTGACTTACTAATAACACGTTATGCAAATAAAATCTAATTTAGAACAATGTATCTTATTTACACAGACTGATTTCTAAACACATTTATTGTAGTTTAACAAAATCCTTAGGGACCTCAGACTTACCTAGTACATCTGAATATTCCTAATTACTTACCACCGGTGATCAGCGTTCCTCTCTGTCTGGGGTGACTGTATGACAGCCCAGACAGTCCCCCTTCTGCAAATTAGGACCCCATGGGCCATGTGATCACTCTGAAAGAGCGGTCACTTGGTCGCAATAGGCGTCCAAAGTGCTGCCTGCAGGGGGACTGGCTGAACGCACAGGCAGTCTCCCTGCATGAGTAAAAAAATTTTTTTTTAAAGGTTAATAAAAAATAAAAAGTGTGTGTGTGTGTGTATAAAAACAATATATATTCTTATAAAAATAATTATAAAAAATAAAATGTAAAAATAAAAAATGTTTTTGAAAATTATATATACACATGTAATTTTATTCTAACTGTATTTTGATATTAATATAGATTTATATCAAAATACACTTAGAATGAAATTATATATCTATGTATATATAAATAAAAATATAAAATATATATATCCATATACATAATTACATAAATCATTTCATAAATATACACAGACTTCAAATACATAAATATGTGTGTAAATATATTTAAATACTACGTGCATATTTTTGTAATATTTTTACTTAATTAAGTTATTTTATTTAATCAATTTGGGGGACCTGTCTGATCACCCTGGCCGAAGTCCAGAGAATTTAATTTGCTAGCACTATATTTAACCCTGTAATTTTCCAAGACACCCTAAAACCTGTACATAGGGAGGGTACTGTTATACTCCGGAGACTTCACTGAACACAAATATTAGTGTTTCAAAACAGTAAAACATA